GGCGTGCTGGCAGATCGCTTCTATGGTCGACAAGGGAAATATGGTTACCTTACGCATGATGATACATAAGCAGAGTAGGTTTAATGATTAGTGTGCAGGGAAGCAAAGTTGAGGGGTGGTGAAGGGGTCTGTGAGTGGGTTTACTGAATTCCGTATCGGGGAGTAAATTCGCGAGAATATGGTTACTTGACGGATGATGATACGAATGCAGAGTGGTTTTAGTGAATTGTGTGTAGGGGAATAAAATCAGGAGGAGGAGAGGGGATTTGGGAGGTGACTGTGGGCCAGGCCTAGGTCTGTACTGAGTCGCGGAATGGGTGTCCAGTGGCTGAGCAGTAAAAAACGAAAAAGCAAAGTACCACGTTCTTTGGTAATAGTTGTAATGTTCAGTAGGGAGTGGCGCAGGTGAGCGCATGGAAAAAACGCCCGATGGACCAAACCTACAGGATTCAGTTTTTCTGTTCTTGTCTTTTTCAGGGTTTTCGGATCTTGGGATTTCTTCAACTTGCTCAACCCGACCATAGCAGAAAGCGGGACCTGACGGACAAAGCTCACAGGAGAGTTTTTGTCTTTTCTGGTTTTTCAGATTTTGGTCGGATTTTCTTCGGTTCACTCAACACGACGGCAGATGAAAGCAGGAAAAACGTGTGATGGAATTTTTCATCCGTCCGAAAAAGCGGATAGAGGCATCGGTGGTGGTCGGCGGGCACAACCACGGAGTAAGGTGACTAAGTACGGAAGAGGTTTTCTCTTTCGAAGTACTTTCTTAGCGAGACGTACGGTACTTAAGCAAGTAGGTTCTAGGATCTCGACATCTTGGAACTATCCCCCTGATGAGGTCGCGAACTGGCAGCGACCGAAACTAGTCAGGGATGTCAGCACCTTCTGCTTCTGGGGTTTCACTCTGTTCTGGGCGACGAAGAGGGAGGTGACCACAGCTACGGCTATGGTTTTTTGTGCATTAACTACTATCTTTCGGAAAAATTTCGAGACGGTCTACACATATATATGCGGTACTATCTCGGCTATGTGTTATGTGTGTTGGTTCTTGTACTAACACTCGAACCCTCGATAGTTTGTAGAACTACACTGGACTTCAAGATCGGGCATATTGACCACCTTGCCATCACTCCAGTTAAAACTTAAAAGGGAATTCAATTTAATTCAAAAGACTATTATAATGAAAATTATCAAATACATCAACCATGCAAAATCCTTACATTCTATGATAAGTTCTTCCTTGCTATAGATTCTTACATCCATTCTCGATAGTGGATTTGTTACGAGAAAGAGGCTCTCCTTTCATTTCATTTATTGTTAAATTGTGTTAATGCCTCATCAGATATGTGAGTTAAGCATCGAATTCATCTCCATGATATCTCCCTATGATGTTGTGAGACTCCAATCCTCTAGTCTATGATGGTTGATATCATGTTGCTGTCATTTACATGTTTCTACGATGCCCATTGCTATTCTCACATTGCTCTTTATGCAGACAATAGATACAGTTATGATTTTCTAAATTGGCATATAAATAGCAACCCGTGTTTGGACTAGTAGTCTCCGGATATCACGTTGAGGAAAACTCATCTCACAGAGGTTGTGGAAAACTCATTTCGCAGACGTCGTGGAGAACTCGATTCACAAAGGCAACACAATGGTATATTGACCCCTCTCAGTGTTCCTCCGCATGCTCCATAGAAGATCCGTTTGCCAACTTCCATACTCCAGTCTCGAAGCCCTGACGACGCAACCTATGTCTCCAAGCAGATGTTATGTGGTTGATCTGTTTTTCTGCCAACTTGAATTATCCAGAGTTGCTGATAACGGTCGAATGTCTAGCAGTTGACACTTGGGCAAAGATGATGGGATTCATTCCATGTTCCGGTTGTTCGCATTGGCACATTGCTGGTGTTTCAGCATTGAGTCAGCACCCTCTGTCGCCAAACCTTTTCCATTCGATTGATTTGTACCATACTTGTGGCGCATCACGTGCAGCGCACCGCGCATTGCGCACGCGGCGCGCTCACCCGGTGCGCTGCAAAGGCAAAATTAGGGGTCCTTCAAAAAAAATAAATCCAAGTGTCCCCGCTTGGGAAAATTAAGAGATGGCTCGCACAATTTTTTTTTGCGGTCACGCTCCACATCTTTGTCTGCGAAATGAAAAAACGTAAAGTCCCCATAGTGTAAGTATGGGCCCCGCTCCACTACTCACGACAGGCACAAAGACAAAAATTGTGGCAGTCTCTTTTTTCGTGTTCTAGAGGAAGATTCACTTTGGTTTTGCACATTTCGAGAGTAGTGGAGCGAGGCCATGTGAGGGCAGGCAAGGGCAGGTTCGACTTCCCTACTTCCAGAATTGGTTCAACTGAGGGCCTCGCTCCACTACTGTCCCCATGCACAAAAGATAAAAACTATGGCAATGTATCTTTCCATGTTGCAACGATAGATTCATTCCCCTTTTGCACATGTGGAGAGCAGTGGAGGGAGGCCCTTACCTACTGCCAGAGTTTGTGGTTTACCTGTCGCTTCTGGCATTTGTCAGAATGACAACTGGCCTAGCCCATGTTGGTACACGGATAGCCTCCCTGCACTGCACGTACCAGGGAATCCGTTGAAATGGTCCATTGTGCGTTACTTGGGTCGTCGCTCCACATGCACAAAAGAAAAAAAATATGGCAGTGTGTCTTTCCATATTCTAGTGGAAGATTCATTCTCATTTTGCACATTTGGTAAGTAGCGGAGCAACGGCCCTTCGCTCTCCACCACCCAACGTATGTGCAAAATGGGAATGAATCTTCCGCTAGAACATGAAAAGATACACCGCCATATTTTTTGTCTTTTGTGCATGTGGTGAGATGAAACAAATGCCCCGCTTCCGGATTAATGTTGGTCGTTGATAAGGGAGGTTTCTTCGGTCTGATAGTGTCAGCACACGGTTTCTTCTCTCTCTCTCTCTCTCTCTCTCTCTCTCTCTCTCTCTCTCTCTCTCTCTCTCTCTCTCTCTCTC